ATTTGGAGAGCTGCCCCGCTTCCCCTTCTTTATATTGGTGAAAGGTACATTTGTTTCACCTCCTCCATAATGCAGGATTTTAATTGGCTGGACTCATATCTAACAGCTGCTGCATTGTCTTTTGTCTTCCTCCACTCTCTCTCTTTCCTTGCCTTCTTTCCCTTCACTTTTCCTTTCTCTCTTCAACTCTCTTTATTGGTCGTCTTTGTATCCCACAAACGTCAAGATTTATTTGTATACGTGGATGTTTCCAAAGCAGTTTCGGTCAGATTCAAGAGGGTACGATTATTAATCTGTGCTTAGAAATATTCCAAATTTTATCCTCAATATGTTTAAAACACATCGTAATCAAGGAGCTTTGAATTCAGATTGGGAAAATAAAGGTGGCTATTAAACTAGGGGGCAGCAGCACTAGTCTTTGGTTCAAGTTCTTTGTATTTTTAAAAGGAAATAATGGATAAAGTTGATACTCAGCTACTGTGTTGAAGCTCTCATATAGAATGTAAACAGGAAGTAGTTACTGTATGTGTAGGTTTGGGACCAGACAGTTAACAAGACATATTCAACTTTGCGAAATCCAACCAGTCGGTTCTCATGATTAAAGTTTCAAGATGTTTTTACACCTGAAAATCAGGACCCAGGTCAGAACTTAGGTTCATGTCTTTGTTATAGTGGGATGCGTTGACATTAATTGATTTGTTGACAGGTAAACATATGACCTTGTGACCATATCAGTATAATGCAGATACAGCTAATTGAGATGTAAGACATTACACCTGCTAAACACCAACATGCTAGCATTATCAATGTGAGCATTTAGGCTTAGCTGAAGTCACTGTTGTGCTTATGTGCAGCATGACAGATAATCTGTCTGCTTCTTCCTATTTTGATCTTTCTATGTCGATTTTCTCAGTGATTTTTCTTACCTGAATCTGTAAAGCACTCTTATTTTTATCGTTCCTAAAATTCATATACCTTTGTCAGTGTTTTTCAAGGGTTAGTTCAGGGTACAGGTACATCTAATCGTGCAACTGATCGGTCAGCATGTCCAACACCAGGCTGAGCCTCAGGTCCTGACTTGTGTTCTGGTTTGCCAGAGGTTCTTTGATGCTGCACCATACAGACAGAGACACTGACCCCCTCACCACTGGGGCTGCTGGTAGACAGGACACAGGGAGGCACTCAAAACCCCGACTGCAGAGAGTACAGTAAACACACAGGCCAATGCATACTATCACTCCAATAAGTGTGCCATGTCTACATTGTTCTGAAAATGAGACCACAAATGGTCATATACAAAGTGTAGAGAAGAAGAAAAGAAATAAAGCCACAAATCTGATTGATGTGATGCTTTATTGATGCCTGATGGGAAAATCTCTCCAGGCATGGAACTGGGAGGTCACTGTACATTCTTTGGGTTTTGGCAAGTGAAGATTTAACCAAGATAACTCCGCAGTCGACCACTACCAAACATTTCCTTCTCCATTACAAAGGCAACTTCTTCCAAGACTGTGTGGTGTCATCTGCAGAATAAACTCAGTTTCTTTCACAATCTTTTCAAAATCCTTACACTGAGGATAATGTGATGCTGATAAGCCAAAATCACGTATTTCATTATTTGTGAAACGTATACTAAAATACAAGTTACGTATACCCTTAAATTATAACTTTATCCTGGTAATGTTACTACTGTATTCTTGTAAAAAATTTAAAATAAATTCCCTTTTAGTTGCCCCAATACTTTATGATTTTGCTTTGCACATTAAAGACACAATTTACAAGCATCTCTTTGTTGGATGGGCGGTCTTTCTCCTCCTTGTGGATAATTTGACAAATGTAGACAACCTGGGTTTCTGACACAGTGAAACTTTTCACTGACACATCTGATAAAAATGTCACAGTTTGAACTCACTTCTTAAAATCAATGGGGCATTTATTTTTTGCCTTGGCAGTGTTGACTTTCATCTAACAACCATAGTGGAACAGAATCCTCAGCAGAAGAAGGAGCTGTACGTACAGTGAAGCTCCATCCGCCCAGTCACATGTTGGGTTACTCGTGCTCTACTGTAGCTGCTGCTACTTACACACCACAGCTGCACGAGGCAAGTGTAGGCTCCTTCCTTCCTGTGAGGCATTTTAAGAAATATGGGAAATCAGTGAAATAGATGAGGTGATGGCGGAGTACACAAGGCAGTGATACAATATTTACGATAGTGTGCTGAAAGTCATGATGGATGATATTTTCCTATAGATTACACCGACGGGGATCTTGTATTTGCTTTATAAACCAGAGTATGTCTTAGTATATATATACTGACTGAATATTTTGTGCGTTTGAGCGTGTGCACATGTCTCATATTGAGGCTTCTGTCTGTGGACGTTATCTCCATGTGTGTTTTTATTTGCTTTCTGGTATTTTGTGTGCTTGTTTAGATGTTTTTCTCTATTTTTGCTTGCATGAGTGTCACAGACATATGGTATGTGGGTGTATAGCAGATGCTCCTGGTCACTGACTAGCTTAGCATTTGCAACTGTTCTCACAAGAGATGAAGATCGGTAGCAAGGGCAACTCACAGTGTTTTCATGTTTGTAGAGGAATAAAAGGTGGCTGCAGGCTAGCGGGGGGGCCTCGGTGTCCTGTAAAACGTGTGGTGCAGTTAAAGGAAAAGGTGGTGTGTAGAAAATAAGGTGCTGAGAGGGTGAAGTGGGTTGACGGGGCAAAAAAAAAAGCTGCTGAAATCTGGGAAGTCAGAATGTCCAAGTCTGTTTCTCCAAGAATCAAAGAAGTTACAGTTCCTTATATACATTTCTGTGCTCCACATGTAAAGCTTGAAGTTAACCAGTCCCAAATAGCAGACCAAGGCAAGGCAGGTGAGAAGATATGTCACATTTAATAAGAAAAGGCAAGGTTATAGTTCTCATACACAGGCAGGCAGACAGGCGAATAAATACTTCCAAATCTTTAAAAAGCAATGGGAACAAAACAGGGGGAAACAGTCTGACACTGACAGATTAATGAAATAAAAAACCAAAGCAGTAAATAGTTTAGACCTCAGGAAGCCATTATTAGATTAAACAATAAGACATAATGTGTTGTTTATTTAACTTTAGCAGTGTTGCCAGGCAGATTTTGTAGCTGTTGGACTGTGCTGGGCCAACCTGTGTTTCTAGTCATTATCCTATGCTAAGCTAATAGCTGCCGGCTGTTAGATGCACAATTCCTGGACTGTCAGGACAATGATATTAGTCCTCTCATCTAAATGACGTAAACAAAGCAAATCTGCATTCTTAAAAAAATGTAAACTTTTACTTTAAACATATAACACACCTTTCACGCTAATGAAGCATCGCGTTAGTTCATGCAGGACAAGGAGTCATGTGCTCAGCTGTCAGCTAATGATCACCAATCACAGCCCATTCTCTCACCAAAGCGGTCCCTTTAAATACGACCTCATCCTCACTGATCCCTGCTCAGCTACACTGCCACCCACGTCTGCTGCCGGCAACCTGCCTCCACCACCCTAGCCTCCACCTTTTAGCAGCGAGTCCAAACACGGTTGTCGTAAACGATATTCATCTTAAACAAACGTACCCTGCCTGCTACGCCAACCGGGGGGTTCTGTACATGTTCCCTATTTTATCTTAGCATGCTGCTCGGCTAATCCAGGGAACATCCAAGGAATGGAGCGCCAATCATAACTGTATCAGCATTGTGCAACAAATAGGTAATTCATGACAAAGTGTTCCTGACTGAATCATAATAATTAAAAAAAAACTGCATTGTCGAGATCAGGATATACATTTTATAACACGAAATGTTTTTACTTCAAGGTTGTGTGAACAGCATTTATACCACCATGCTTATACTCAGGTCAGACAGAAATTGTAGAAGCAGGTGTAACAGGTTCAAGGAGACCTTTGCTAAAAACTACCATCTGTGATTCAGCTTGAGAACTGCTGTGACAGAGACCTCATATTCTTTGTGTGCTCAAGGTTACATTTTAAAGTCAGTGACCTTGATCTCTGCACACATGTCCTCACTGGATGAGGATGCACAGAACAATGAGACAATCACAGCAGGTGAAATATGGCGTCAAGCCTCATGAATCTGCTCTTTCAACAGTTTATCCTCCATCAGGCGATTGAGTCGCCACATGGAAATTTAGAGTCTGACAGAAGCAGGTGCAGACACACTCAGTGTGCAGCAAAGCAAGAGACACAAGACTCCAAAAAGCCTGATCCTCCTCTACAGTGCGTGAGGGGATGGGGGGGTGGTAACTGATATCATCAAGTTGAGCCCAGAATCCAATCATTTTACTTTGAGGGAGATCAGGGGAAGTGTGTGTCATATGTTTTGAGAGAGGGAGAGAAAGGGGGAAGTATGGGGGGAAATCTCATTGAATTACTACAGAGGAGCAGTTCACCCTTGAGGAATCTCAGGTCGTCCTTGTGAGAGGCTCGCCATCACACACGCAGGCACACAAACACACACACACACACACACACACACACCACTCTCCCCCCACCTCCTGCATCCCTGTCTCCTCCCCCTTCCAACAAAAAAACCTCTTCTCCATTGCACCCTTCCACCCCACCATCACCACCACCTCCCTCCCACCCACTCCTCCCCTCCCCTCCCCTCCGCCTGCAGAGGATCGCCGTAATTGGTCGCTGCTGCTGGGACGGAGCGACTGCGCTCCGGCGCGCGGTTGGCGCATCCTCCGAAAGGATGCTGCGCAAAAGCTTTGCGTGAGAAGAGGAAAGGAAAAGGTGAAAGGAACAACACAACCCCCAACCCCCCCTCCCCCCGACATCATAGTGTACCTGTATTTGTGAGCAGGGGGTGGGGGTGGGGGGTGCACTGACATGCAGCCACTGCCTCTGCGGCTGCTGCGCTGTGTGCGTGTATAACCGTGGAGTGGAGTGGGATTGGAGGAGCCCCCCACACACACACACCACCACCACCTCTCTTTCTCTCTCTCTCTCTCCCTCACCCCCTCTCCTCCCTCACTCCTCCCCCCGCTGTAATATTTATGGCAAAACGGAGGCAAATTATTCTGGTCACGTTTTTGGCTGACAGTCGGCTGTCCCGGAGAGCGCTCAAGTGAATCAGGGTCCAGAGCCGGAGACATAGCGCAGCGCAGCGCACCGACACCTGCAGTAGGGATGTATAGCGGGGATTCCCACTCTGCAAACTGGTAAGTTCCAACACTCCGACTGCTGCACTTCTTCTCGTGACACTTATTTGAAGCATGTACAGTGAATATGGTGTTTTTTTAAAGATGAAATCAGAGGGGTTTGGATTTGGAGATTGGATTTAAGGGTTTTCAGCTAAATGAAATGGATGCTGGTCTGTCTATCGGTGGGACAGGATCAGCCCGGACCTGTTTTCATTCAGTCATAAAACATCACTTGATCGCAGCCTCCTGACTTGTCACTGGCTCGTTCTAGTCGCTTGTTTGCATTGATGAAGATGATGAAGTGACTGATCTGGTGTGGGACGCAAATCCTTGGATCATTCTTGGCTTCCTCGAGATGTGCAGCAACAGACGACACTTGGAGCAGAGGGGGGAAATAAACCCAATGTGAAACAGCGCACATGATGCAGGAACACACAACATTTTGCCTGCAGTGTTACGTTATTTGATCATTTTCCAGGGGGCCACAGTGATTGTTGTTGCCTCAGTCACATGGATGCGCCACGCTTGACGCGTAGCTGTCCGGTATGATGGTCTATAAGAGCTCTGGCTCAGTGCAGCAACTAAACATTTGACGTGTATTGTTTCAATCAAGTCAAATGATTCCACATATAGTGCACGTGATGTGTAATTGCTATTCATCACCCCATGAGACCTACAGATTTCAAGGACTGTTTAACTGAGCTGCTCTGCGTTTATTTAAAATCCTCCATCATAAGAAAGAGAGGGAGAAACAGTCTCATCCAAAGATAACCCTTTTTACAGCTTGACAGAACATTAGCATTTTCTTCGCCTAACTTCAGCTTTTATGTAAATCTGAAATATGATGAGTGTCACCGTCCAGCACAGAATTCATAATGCTCTCTCTTTACCTCAAGTTTCCTCCTGTGCATAAAGCCCAGAAATGGTTTTGAAGCCTACAAATACTACCGTATATTTCCTTATGTAATCTAGCCCCGTCTCCTCACTTGTGTGACTATGGAGCAGTGACAGTGAGATTGTTTTGCACACTTGTTCATGAGACGTGGAATGGGAACATGTTTGGTCTGAAGCTGTAGTGGATTTCTTCCTGCTGCAGTGCAACATATTCTCTGTAAGGTTACTGCTCCTATTGATTTCATGTCAAACTGCTCCTCGCTTGCATGAGTTGATAAACAGTGATGGATCAGTGCTTTTCATTTACAAACCACAAATCAAACTCTTGGATATTTGGCTTCTTTATGTATTTTTTCTATATCATGTGATCACCTGGGATGAAGTTGGAACGTTTTTTGCCATCAAAGAGTTGTAATTGTCTTAATTAAAATAAACTTTTTTTAGAGGCTGTCACATAACTGAAAAAAGTTGATTCACTGGTGACCTGTGCAGTATGTACCTCGCCACTCACAGAGAAGCGTTATAGATAATGGATGGATGGAAACATAAAATGTCCCTAATCCCAATTTGTGCTATGCCTGATGCAGTGTTATTAGTGTGATTTTTTTTTTTAAATCAGCAGAACTTTCAGAATGTAGTCTTTTAAAGAGACACTAAACTAATTTTAACAAAAATTAAATGTTGAGAATGAAGCTTTAAAATTTAACAATATTACACAGCAATTTTACAGCATAATGTATATTTCTCCAAAATTTTTGTTTTTTTCTTAACAGCCTCCTCAGTCTATACATTTATTGTGATTTTCATCAAACACTGCAATTAGTTACTTATTCTTGAAAGGTATTCAAGTGCCCATCTTGATATAAAGTAGCCGACACTAGGGCTGTTCATTCCCCAGTTATCTTTTATGATGAGTATAAACAGAATGCAGATGCAGAATATTAAAATCTAATAGTTAAGGCTCTGTGTGATTTCCTGCTCATATGTATGCTCATTGCCACTTAAGAATCCCTGCTATATGAATCTCAAAGGGAGACTTGTTTTTTAACATTATTTGTTGACAGCCCTGTGTTTGCTTTGCATGTGGGTCACTGTGTGTTTGTGTCGGTGCATGTATTTATAGAGAAGCTTTGATGCTGCTGGTGGGGGAAATATTCCACCACACGTGTCACTCTCTGGTTTAGACGTCACAGTGTTGTACTGCAGTGTGGTGACCAAAGGAGAGCTGTACCTCTGTCGCGTTGATTGATTGAAAGTCGTATATACCTTTTATATAATGGCACTGAAGAGGAGATGGTCAAAGTGTTGTTGTGGCTTCTCACAGAGAAAAAGCAGTGCGGGGTAAGCACACAAGATTTTTTTTAAGGTTTCTTTATTGTCATGAAAGGTTCCACGGACAGCTTTTGTGTTATTTTTGAGAAATGGCCTGAAATAGCATTAGACATTGGGATTGGTTTACAATGAATATGAATTTTGGAACAACTAAAACTACAACTATTACTATCACCACTATTTATTTTGTTTTATTTGATATAGCATTAAAAAGTTTGTTTTTCAATGGCAATTCAAAAATGTTAAGCTGTTATGTTCATTGGTCTAAAATTTAGTCCTGCACTGACAAAATCTCACTATTAGTTACTAGAAATAATGATTACACCGTACTGACAAAAAAGCCTTAAACTGTGTGTTTATATTTGTATTCTCCAATATAAGAACAGTGTTTTTGAGCTGAATGGCCATATTCTTTTTAATCAGCCGACTTGACCAAAGCTAGACATCTCACTAACCTTGGTTTGACTATAAGATTGCACATGTGTATAAAACTACAGATACAAAACAAAAAGTACAGAACAAAAAAGGTCAAAACATCATAAACACCAGTAACTTACCCTGCACGCAGACATTTTTATTACTGATGGCTGAGATTGCTCGTCTTCCTTTCCAGTGCACTCGCGTCCTCTGTGTGAAATTAAAAGCATGCTACACTTAGTCCTCTTACCAAATATAGAAAATAACAATGTCGCTTGAAGTCTGTAAGTGCATAGAGACGGAGCAGAGGCGGAGAAGATCTCAGCACTATAGATAGGACCAAAGCAGGGAGGATGATTGGGGAGAAAGCAAATAGAAAGATGAGATGGATCAATAAATCATTAGAGATAGCAGAGTGGAATGACCACGGTGAGAAAGCCTGTAAGAGCAAGGAGACAGATGCAACATGGAGGAGTGGACCCATATGTTAAAACTTAACAGACTCAGTGTGGCCGCCCATCTGCAGACCAGGAATACAGCTGCTTTCTTGTTTACATGACATATTTAGGTATATTTTTAACATAATCACATAAATATATTAATGCTGCTGAGGCATCTGCTTCACTCGCTAGACGCTGACAGACATATGGTGTAAGTATAAAGTTTGATTGTCACCACAAGTATTAAGTGTAAGTGTACTTACATTATCCAACAATTTTCAAGACAACAACTCCCATGATCCCATGCTGTTTGACAATATCACCAAACTAGTTTTTTTTTTTTTGATTGAGAGACCCCCAGCAGCCAAAGTTATATATTGTACCTCTGCTGTGGTTGAGGGGTAGAGTGGTTGTTTTCCAACCAGAAGGTTGGCAGTTTGATTCCCGGTCTTCCCCATCTGCATGCCAAAGTGTCCACCCCGAATTGCCCATCATAGAACAAAACGTGTTGTACTGTATGAATGTGTGTGTGAATAGGGGAATGGCACACTGTACTGTAAAGCACTTCAAGTGTTCATCAAGACTAGAAAAGCTCTATATAAATAATAACTATTTCTGTGCCTCCTTGTGGTTTTGTTATGAAACCTCTTGTGTCATCAGTCTGTAATATGTTTAGCTCCATGTTTGTGTGTGTTGGTGTTCCCCTCCCTCAGGTAAGACCTCAGTGCGTCATTATGGTGTGATAGTACAGTTGCCTCTCGGTCAAAGAAATCCTGTCTGCTGGAGATAAATTGCATTAATTGAGCTCTAATTGCCTGCTGGATTGAAATAGCTTAATCATTCTAACCTGAAGCAGACAGCCTCAAGTCTTTCTTTTTATAATACTCCATCACATCCACTTAATCTGTTATTTCTATTCTTCAGGTCTATTTTTCCCAGTTTTCTGACGTCATCTGCTCTATACCTCAGACAGCATGCGCAAGATTATTCTGATTAGAATTCAGATGTTTTCAAAATCACTGCTCTGACTGGGGTTTCTCATGGTTTCACTGGGATGCCTTGTGAAAGGTACTCTTTGGACTTTTTGTTCACTATAGGTGCTATGGTGCAGTGGTTACCTGTTTGATTTGTTCAAGCATGTTTGTTCAATCATTGTACTGTGCTCAAAAAAATTCAGGTCACAGTGTAACACCAGCTCAGTTAAACGTCAGGAATATTAATCCGTCCATTTAGGAAGCACAAGTGATTGTGAATCAATTTCACCTGCATTGGTGCAAATGAAATTGACAACAGGTGCAATTGAGAGGCAATAGCAAGACAACCCATTAAAGGAAATGGTGTTGCTTGTGGTGGCCACAGACAATTGCTCTCTCCTTTCCTCCTTCTCTAGTTTTGTGTTCTGCTAGTGTCCTTGTCAGTACTGGTAGCATGAGGCAGCATCTGCAGCCTGATCAGGTTGCACAGGTAGTCCAGCTCCTCCAGGATGGTACATCCATACGTGCGGTTGAAAGAAGGTTGGCTGTGTCTCCCAGCCCAGTCTCAAGAGCTGAGGAGATACCAGGAGACAGTCGTTACACAAGGAGAGCTGTACAGGGCTGTAGAAGAGCATCAACCCAGCAGCAGGACCGGTATTCTTTCCTTTGTGCAAAGAGGAACAGGAGGAGCATTGCTGAGCACCGTGCAGCTCGATTGTCATTTGCCAGAGAACACCAGAATTGGATACAGGAATGAAATCCTCAGAGCGATTGTCAGACCTTATCGTGGTGCGGCAGGCCCTGGGTTCCCCCTGGTGCAGGACAATGCCCGGCCTCATGTGGCCAGAGTGTGTCGGCAATTCCTGGCTAACAAAGGCATTGATGCCATTGAGTTGCAAGTTGGATCAGCCTGTGATTTAAATTTCCAATCTGATTTTTGGTGTGGTTTTGAATTCAGCCC